GAAGGGTGTTCAATATGTGTAAAATCAACAATGATTGTTATTGTGTAAATATAAGGTTTCGAGCTGCGTGTGTCGAAAAAGCTATGTGAAAGTCATTTGAAGCACAGGGGTGTTGAAACTCGAGCACGCCTTACTCGATATCGACCCCGTCGCTACGACCCAGGATCGATTCCGCATCAAACCATAGACACAAACGGGAGACCTGAACAGAGCGCGTTTGTCACCAGAACGGGCATCCTTTCCGGCGACCTATGGTAAAACCTCGAAGGTAGAGTGTGTCTAGACTGGGGGTTCTACGGTACCCCAGTAGTAAATGCGAGTTGTATATTGATATAAATGCTCCATTTGTACTAATAAATGACTTCCGAAGTTGTAAGCCAGCAGAAATTAAACTGATGTCATCATAATCGGAGTCCGTCACCCGGTGGTGGGGGGGGGGGGGGGGGGGGGGGGGGGGGGGAGGTGAGGGGCTCGCCAAAGATAAAAAGCGTCTTGTCTGGGGGGTGATTCGTCAGGGAAATTTTGAAATAGAACCCCCTAAAAGGTACCAGAATCCTCGTTTTGTGGGGCGTGGCTCCCAATTCATTTTCACCCCTAAAGACGGTACCAATTCCAATTCTTGTTCCATAAATTTTTCCGCGACCTTAATACCCTAAAAGGTACCGGAATAACTCTTAACGGTAGTCCATTTTAGATTTGAAACACCCACCTAAGTGGTAGCCAAAACCACGAATTTTAACCCCTAAAAGGTATACGATACGATTCAGCCCCCCCCCCGCCCCCCCCCCCCCTCTTCCCACGGGGTCCGTCATATTCATCCTTTAAAGTGCTGGGTTTGTGGCAATATTTTAAACTTAGATAAATTTTATCGTTTATTGATGTCATCGTCGCCTTCTAAAAAAGTGGTAAGTAACTCAGTAACCTATGCTATTCATCTCAGTACCCTGTAACTCAGTGTTCCAGTTGTTCTTTTGTTCTGTTGGCTGCTGTTTTTAGTTCTTTAATTTTTTGATGCATAGGTATGTGTCCGATAAGAGGACGAAATGCCAAAGAGTTTTGCTGGCTAATAAGAAACTATTGTTACTTCGAAGCCCCATTTATGAGGAAAAACTGTCCCAAAATCCCTGTCAGTTTTGGGCGGGAATAAAGAGCTAAGTTTTTAAACATCTGATCATTAAAAACACTACTCAGGTTGTTCTGGGCTGCTGGGTGTGTTAAAAATACTTATCCTAACCAAAGATAATGTTTGACCCATCACGTCCCCTCGAAATATAAACAAACCGGGGACTCCACCTTGGATAAGACGTCGATCCGGGCCGCAGATAACTGAATCACAGAGCCCCTGTTCACATGTACTTTCTACATGATACGTGTACGCGAATACGCACGCGCAATTTATTTGTGTGACGCAGCAGTCTCCACCGGCCCTCGCCGCATCTTCCCACGACCATCAAAGGACTGAGATATTGTACCGCATGTATATACAATAGCCCCGACGCCCCCCCGTCTTTTCCCTCTGGGCTAGAGCGAGGATTGCTCCAGCCCCTCGCACACCCAGCTTTGCCCCAACAACCTGGACCAATATATTTTTCGACACTTAAAATTTTTTTATTTGTTAACTCGAATTTTTTTGGTCCATGTTAATTAGGAAAATTTAATAAAATGCAAATATAAATCGACCATAATGATGTTTTATTTAAAAAGTATGGTAAATACTGTACCATGTTGATATATCTTCTCGTTATTTATGTTTTCAGTATCAAGATACAAGTTTACCATGAGATTTACTCACTGGAAAGCCGCGAAGTAAATTTTCGTTCGCAAGCTGGTGTAAGCCATTCAGGAGCCGCGTATCATGTTTTTTGCCGTGTGAGCCGTAACAAGTTGATGTTTCATTCAAGGCTGATTGGTGGCGTTTCGCACACGTCGACACACGTTTCTTCGCCAGTTAAAATTATAGAATTTCAGCGTTTATGTTTAAGCTTACATTTCTCTAAAAACATGAGTGAAAGGCGGTTTGCTGCCTACAATTCTTCGGTGGAAGATTACGTCGAAAGTCTGGAGAACAAGAACACAAAAGAAAATCGAAGCGGGACGTAAAATTGTTGAAAGAATTGAGAAACGAAACACGACGAGCGAGAGTTGTACACTATGGCACTAGAAGAACTGGACAAGTATCTCGCAGAGTTTATTCGCTCTGTTAGACGTATTAAAGATGGAGCAGATTACGAACCCTCAAGTTTAAGAAGCCTCGCGTTGAGTTCAAGTTTTGTGAGGCATTTTACCCAGCTAGTGACCTAGTGTCATACAATTTGAGTTGACTCGAAAATGTCTACAATCAAAACAAAAAGAACTAAAAAAAGCTGGCCGCGGTAACAAGAACAAAGCCAAAGCAAGGTCAGGCTCCAATTTACACCTTTATATTTTCATGTTTTTGTTTGTTTCACTTGGCCAAATGGCGTTTTAAGCCTAGTATATAGCTGCGAATTTGTTTATAAGCTTTTGAATGTTGCTTGTCGACTTGCATTTATGAATAAAAAATATTGTCATTAAACTGGGTTTTAAATCTCTGTATGTATATAATAAACATAATACAACATGGAAAGTGCTTTGTACGGTATTTACGCACGAGTTGGTTTGTATCAGAAATCTCACTCGTTCGCTGCGCTCACTCGTTCGATTTCTGACACATCACCAACTCGTGCGTAAATACCGTACGCGCACACTTTCCATGAAGTATTATACATTTATTACATAAGTACTGAGATTTAACTCACGATAAAACGATTGCGTATAAATGATACATAAAATCCATTAGCCAATAGGAAACGCGAACGATGAAAACTCACTAGTGAAAAAACGTCGTTCGTCCAATCACAAACGCGAACGGCGAAAACTCACTGGTGAAAAAAAAATCGTATTGGATTTTCCCGCCATTAGTTGACAGTTGTTTTGTCGCTGTAAATTTAAACAAGGTTTCAAGATTCGTTCCGAACTTTTTTAAATGTCAAGAAAATAATTCAAGCGGATACAATGAAAAACTCCCAACAGGGAATGTAAGTAATGGACCAAATATCAAGAAACCGAAGGCAGCCGAAAGCCTGACATCGACAGTTTGAGAAACAAACACAACATTCGTCCGACTGCCGTTTATTGAAGTATCGTCTCAAAAACTTGGCGGATTGAGCTCGCTTCTGGAAAGCGGCGAAGGGAAATTTGCCGTCAACTAACTTCAGGTATGTGGGGAAGGTAATTAATATTGATTATGGATCGATTTTATATCGAAATCCCACGGAAAGTCGACAAAACTTCAACTTTGATTCATTCATTCAGCTACGAGCTCGGCTGCATGCAAAGCATAGCTGACTCAGAAAGTGATTTTTGTGTCGTGGATGTAAACAAAATCCATGTTCATTCCTCGTTTACTGACTGGAGTACCATTTTAATTGCATTTCTTGAATTGATCAGCTGACTATTTGCTCTGTAGAATATTTTTGATGTCGAATCAAACTTGCCGAATTATTTGCAGTTGAGCTGAGTTAAGATTATGTGAAACTTTGCTTTCGCCTCGGCGACGGCGATTTTGAAAAATATAATTTTTTCACTCACATTCGTCATTGTAATATCTCAGTACTCATGTAAATAAACAAATTACTTCATGGTTAGTTTCGCTTGTACGATTTTTATTCACGAGTTGTGAAGAATAACAAACTCACTTCGCTCGCTGCGCTCGCTCGTTCGTTTTGTGTATTCTTCACAACTCGTGAATAAAAATCGTACGCGCTCACCAACCATGAAGTAATCTCTATTTCCTTTTTACGAGTGAATTTTAATGAAACGAGTATGGCTGTGGGGGACAAATATGCAGATTTTTCACTCGATGGGCTGTAAACATTAATTTATGCATGCATTAAATTATATAATAATCTCATTTTTTTTCTTATTCTTTTTTTTTTCTAGTTTTATTTTTCATTTTTTGGTATTATTATTTTATTTATTTTACTTATTTATTTATTTAATTTTTCGTTTTTACCCTTCTGGGATTTGAAACCGGCGACTTCAAACCCTAACCACTTGTATAAAGCTTCTTCGAATGACTGATCCGAATGGCTCGATTTATGGCTTGTAAGAGTTTCCAAATAGAAGAAATAACTAAATGAATAAGTGATCATCGCAGTTATTAATGCAATTTTTGGCAAATTGCAATATAAGCCAGAAAAACATTCTGGCTTCAACGGGATTTGAACCCATGACGCTCCGCGCTTACTAGTGCGATGCTCTACCAATCTGAGCTATGAAGCCACACATTGGGAGCAGGTCAATTGTGAGTTTATACACCCGTGATAGCGAATAAATGTGATGATGAATATATGAAATGAAATCATGTATGTGAACTGCGGAAATGAAATTAAATGAATAAATGACGGGTGTATCACAGGTATATAAACTTATAAACTTTCCTCCGTGCTTGGAGGTTAGGGAGAGGCGAGGAGGAAACCGCACGCCACTCCGTTGTTGACATTGTACCCAGCGGTTGTTAACGCTGCACATGCGCATGCGCTTACGCATCGTGTCTGGCCTTTTGATCGCAGTTTGGCTTTCAATAAACCTTCGTGCAATGTTTCCTATTTATTGGCGGCTAATCATTAACCCAACAGAATAATGAAATTTTTCTAAATAGTTTCTTGAACTATTTCGGTTGCAAGAAATACACCTATTTCAATTAACGTTGTCGGATAGAAATGTTTTTAAAAGCCCGCAAAGCCCACAAGACAAGACCGAAAGGTAGCATGGGTAAAAGTAGAAAACTGCTGCACGCAACGAATACTAATGAGAAGTAACATGTAAAACATTATTTATAACGTTTCCTTTTTGTTTTAAACCTGTAGAAGTAAGCTACTGTTAGCTAAACTAAATTGTAGCAAAATAAGCTAGCGAAAAAACATGGAAAAACAAATTATATAATTCGGGGCAGACCAAATACATCACGTGCGAAATAAAAACGTGTAGATTTCTTTTCCAGCGATATGCAAATTCTAATGAATACCCAGACTACCATTTGGTCTTGTCTTGTAGGCTTTACGCTTTTATCCGATTTTTCCGACAACGTTAATTGAAATAGGTGTATATGTAACCAGCAAACTAACATATAATTTTGACACCGCATTATTACAACTAGCGTGCGTGTTTATGCTTTCGCCAACACAGCGAAATTCAAACTCACTTGAAGTTTATATTTAAAGAACATGAGTTTTGCATTTATCCTTTATAAAGGTTTTACGTTCACTTTGAAATTTGTAAAGGAACATACTAATTTTGCCAAGCTCTAATCTCCATGAGCAAAACAGTTTAAATGCAACTGATCGTAGAAGGAGCCGAGTCCCGGACCAATCAATTCTCTTCAGTGTATTTTACATCATTTTACAAGAGGATGCTCTTGGAATCGCAAAGATAAAATTAATTTATGACATATCTTTTTGTTTTGTGCAACGAAACATTGACGCGTCGATAAGGCAACCTGCAAGTACCTTTAGATAACTTACTTGCAATGCATTTATTCCCGGCATTCCTCAATTCTGTACACCTTAGTTCGTGCCGTTTTGTTTATAGGATGCTAAAGAACAATATATTGTAGCTATTATATTTTTCTTCGCATTTTACAGATGATAAAAGATGACAATTCGACTGCGGCACATAAAAGAAAACATTTTTTGCTTGGAAAATGTTTTATAAATCTGTTCATGATTTATTAGACCTTATTACAAGAGCAATATGACTAAAATATACATCATGGGAAAGTCTCCTTGAATTGAATTTTATGAGGCAGTTTTCAAAGCGGACGCTAGCAACATTCTGGAGGAGTTGAAGCCGGAAATGTGCTTAACACTGAGTGCAATTCTCCTAAACTTTATTCCATGGTATAGCAGTTTGGTCACATCACGGGGAGAATACCGTATATAATAGTTTAAGGTTGCTGTGTTCGTTTTGCTTTCGACCCAGAATAGTTATTATTGAGTTGTGCTGTTAAATGTATCTGCTTAAAACAACTCTAAGGAAGGATCGGGGAAAGATCAAATAATTTTGAAATTTCTCAGCTGTGTGGCTGTTTAAAGGAATCGCAGTTCATAGCAGATGTATAACAGCTTGCCGACATAAGAAAACAGTATTGCCCAAACATGATGTCATAGTCTGTTCACCGTTTACACAGCTCTGGTAACAAGATGCAGTAACAGGTGTCACCATAGACAGAGAAATGTCTTTCATGTCAAAAAAACTGCCTTTATCTGACTGATGGCAAATTTTTGATTTCACTATGAGTGTTGAGATGGTATCCTCTCTTAAAAGCGTTGCATTGAGCGACTGAAGAGAGTTGTCTAAGCGTAACTCAGTGCTATCTGCTCAAGAAAGGTTCTGCAGAATGTATATTTCCCTTTTGCTTCTGTTCTTCACCTTGAGAGATTGTCATTCTTGTCTGAAGGTACAATGTTTTTCTATGGTTTAGTAGAAATGCTTCCAAATTCAAATATTATTTAAGTAGCTATATGTTGACTTCTAACGGCAGGTACCTGTTCACTGCTTATTCGTGTTTCTTACAAGGCATTTTCGCTAAATGAAATGGCCGGTACCTGAACGGGTGGCAAATCGACTTATTTTACAATAATTCATCAAGTAGTGTTATTGTTGATTTTATCCCTACGATTTCCCTTAATTTTATGATTTGTTTAATATCCAGCAGAAAACCTCGCTTTTCGTCACAAAATTATTTCTCGTGATAAAACTCTCTCTCTCGTATTTGATATATCACATAAAGCACACTCTTGAGGAAATTTACCTTTCGGGAAGTTATCACACGGCCCAAAGAAAACGTGAAATGGTTAATGTAATAATGAGACAAAATTTTCAAGCAAGCAACCGTGGACGACAATCCTGCTGGTGTACGTTGGATCAACAAGTGATCTAATCGGCTAAAACAAGTGAAAATATACTGTAGAAGCAGAGACCGATACAACGTAGATTTTAAGTTTTTTAAGTACTATATTTCGACTGGCCAAACCAGTCTTCTTCAGGTACAATGAGGAAATTTTACATTGATATACGTGTTATATAGTAGCTACTAACAGTTTTTGCGTAATAACGGAAATACGTCAGAGAGATAACAAAGATTGACAGTAAAACAATAGAATAAAATAATGTAGGGAAACTAAATATCTAATATCTTTCTTCGCGGATGTTAAGGCCATGGGGTTCAAGTGTTCTAGCTTTTGTGATTAAAAAAGCTTCCCTGGCCTTACGTATTGAGTCTCTGTTAGAAAATATTTTTTCAATGGGGATTAATTCCATGTCGTTAGCAGTGTGATTAGGAGAGGAGAGAAAGTGTTCAGCGACTGTAGTAGGTTTAGATTTGGTATTAGGGTTATCTATGGTACGGCGGTGTTCATTAAATCTGTCTTTTAAGCGTCGTTTAGTCTCTCCTATGTATTGTAAATTGCAGCGGTTACATTGAATCATGTAAATTAGATTTTTGGTGTTACAGGTAAGGTTAGATTTGATAGAGTGAGTTTGTCCAGTAGAGAAGAAAGTATAGTTAGTAAGTCCATCAGAAATGTAAGGACAAGTAGCGCAATTCTTTCCACAACGGAAAGAACCGGAAGGGAGTTGTAGATGGGTATTAGTCGAGTTAGAAGGGAGTTTAGCTGTAACTAGTAAGTCACGTAGGTTAGAGGAACGTCTAAAGGCTACAAGAGGCATGTGTTGAAAAGTTTTTTTACAGCGGTCAGAAGAGAGGAGCAAATTATAATGTTTTTTTATGATGTTAGAGATGTGTGGAAGTGATGGATTGAAAGTAGTTATAAAAGGTATACGTTTAGGTTTGTTGGTGTCTTTGGTTTGTAAAGTAAGTCCGCGGGGAATGTCGGTAGCGCGTTGTATTTGTCTAGTAAGGAAGTTTCGGTTATATCCTCGTTTGAGGAGGTATGTTCTTAATTGAGCAGCGCGAGTCTGGAATGTTTCGTCGGTAGAACAAATACGTCGTAACCGTAGGGCTAGACTGAAAGGAATGGCTTTTTTAGTATGCAAGGGATGACAAGATGAAAAGAGTAGATGTTGGTGTTTGTCTGTAGGTTTAGTGTAAAGGTCAGTACAAATGTTACCGTTGTTTAAAGATACATTAACATCAAGGAAAGGTACGTTAGTAGAAGAGTATGAGCTGGTGAATTTAATGGTAGGTCATGGTAGGGTGAATGTTGTTAAGATAATCGATGAAAATGTTGAGGTTATCCAGACCTTCTGTCCAGATCATAAAAATATCATCGATATATCTTAGCCAGGTGTGGGGATGAAATGGGGCTTTTTCCAAAGCGTGGCTTCGAAATAACCCAGAAAAAGGTTAGCAAAAGAGGGGGCCATTCTAGTACCCATGGCTGTGCCGTGAATCTGAAGATAGTGGTTATCATTAAAAGAAAAGTTATTCATGGTAAGGATCATGCGAATGAGGTCACAGAGTGTGGTAGTAGGAATGATTTTATCAGGGCGAGTACGTAAAAAATGATCGCAAGCGTTAATGCCTTCATTATGTGGAATGTTAGTGTATAAAGATGAAACATCAAGTGTAACTAATAATGAATTAGCGGGTAAATTACTGATATTAAGGAGTTTGTTAAGGAAGTCATTAGTGTCTTTAACAAAAGATGGTAGTTGATGAAACTAAAAGGTTGAAGGTGGTAGTCAACAAAATGGGATATGCGTTCAGTAGGATGGCTGTTAGAGGAAACAATGGGACGTCCTGGATTACCGGGTTTGTGTATTTTAGGTAAAATGTAAAACGTCCTGGTTTAACGTCAGTCTGTATAAGGTATTGTTGGGTTTTGTCATTGATATAGTTGTAACTGTGCATTCTGTTAACATAAATAGTGATACGTGTTTGTATGTCAGCAGTTATGTCTTCGTCCAAGCGTCGGTAAAATTTGGCGTCATTAAGTTGTCTATTGCATTCGTCGATGTACCAAGTCTTGTCCATAACAACAGTACCGGAACCTTTGTCAGCGGATTTTATAATTATGTCCTGTCGTTGTTTAAGTTGGTTTATGGCCTGTCGTTCATTAGCAGTAAGGTTATCACGAATTTTGTTAGGTGTACATGTAGTTATGTCAAGTTAACAGCGTCTAAAAAAGTGTTAAGAGCTCGTTTCTCTGTCGATGGGAGGGTTCCAAGTACTTTTGTTACGGAAAGGAGTGTCGTTTTCTGTAGCGTTGGGTTTAGTGCTGTTTTCGTCAAAAAAATACTCGGTTAGTCGCATGCGGCTG